GAAGAGGACAGAGGTCCGAGCCACGGCAACAGGATGGAGATGTCGATCTTCTACGTCATCTACTTTGTCGTCTTCCCGTTCTTTTTCGTCAACATTTTTGTGGCTCTCATCATCATCACCTTCCAGGAGCAGGGAGATAAGATGATGGAGGAGTGCAGCCTGGAGAAGAATGAGGTGATGACATGCAGGAATCAGTATTGGTACAATCTAGTGAAATTAAATATGCTAGTTAGGATGCTGCTCGCAGCTCTTCTTGGCAGTCAATGATGTTAAAGATCAGACATGGAAAAGCCCCATCAATCAAAAATACAGCACACAATTCATTCTCTTTGCTTTTGTCTAATCAGAATTTTCTTACATTTATTTTCCGGCTGATTCTTTGTGCTCGCTGCTGAGTTTTAACTGTCGTTCTCTCTGCATTTCAGAGGGCATGCATAGACTTCGCCATCAGCGCCAAGCCCCTGACCCGATACATGCCGCAGAACCGGCACACGTTCCAGTACCGTTTGTGGCATTTCGTCGTGTCGCCTTCGTTCGAGTACACCGTCCTGGCCATGATCGCGCTCAACACTATCGTCCTGATGATGAAGGTGAGGAAAAGGAGGAAACGACAGGAAAGAAATCAGAGAACTTATTAAATTTTGCATTTTTTAATGAGAGCAGAGCATTAGATTAGTGATAAATGAAAGCAGAAGGACTATTATCTGCCTCACGTCTTTCCTTTCTCTGCACTGACTAGTCTGGTGTGTTATTTTCCACACATCCGTCTGATAGGAGAGCACACCTTGCATCACTTCTCAGCAACATATTCTGTGATGAAAGTGCGACTGTTAACACTTCGGGTTTAAAATAAGCCGAGGTGCGTCACTCTGCGGTAAAATAAAGGATGTGCTCGTCTCTCGGCGCCGCTTGAACGCGCTGTGATGTTTGCGTTTGGATCTGCTGATGTTTTTGCAGTATTTATTTTCTGATCCGGCCTCTTCTGGGGTTGTGCTGCTTGTTCAGACAGACAGGCGCTCAGTGACTCAGCCTGTATTAAATATTGATCTATAATGTCCGTGCGCTGCTATTTAGCATGACCTCATTAACTGTGGCCGCCGCCCCCAGAGGAATGACTCCTTTTATAGTGCGACAGATGAGAGGTGCAGAGACAGAGGTACTATTTATGGGTCTGGAGGAATCTTCCATCAACCTGCAGATCTACAGAGTGCAGTTCACACCCGTCAGAGAGG